AGAGTATCTGGTACTGCAAACATTTGTGAAGTCTTTGTGTATTTACTATCTAGAAATATATAACCTCGTACTGCTCGCTCTCTGGGCAGCTCGGGCAAGCTCTTTTAGGCTAAGGTAGTAGCTATTTCGGTAAGGGATCCTGAATTGACAGTGTGGTAGGTAATAAAAGGAAGCGCAAAGCAAGGAATATGGAAATACAATGAGCAATCGCCTCTGACGTTTTAGAAGAAAAGGTCCGAGGATTAGTGACTGACATTCATGAGCAAGGTGTTTAGTGAAAGCTTCTGCGTCACTAGTCATCAGTCGAAAAGCATTGAGAGCCAGAAGTGGGACTTTTTCATAAACGCCAGCAACATTCCACTGACACTCTGTCACTTGTTGCGTAAAGCAAGGAAATCGTCTAAGAGTGATTGAGAGGATATTTCAGCTCGAACCTTATGGTCTGGCTGAATGTGAAAAGGAGGCGTTTTAGATATGCTCAAATCATTTTCTGTTCAGCAAGTAACTGAACGGTTTCAAGAAATTTCACGAATAAAGGGAACGAAAAATAATATTGAAGGTTCTTCATACTAGTCAAAAAGAATAAACTACCTAATGCTTCAAAGAGTACCTTAGTTCGTTATTTGTCTCTTAATTTGTTTCGATGTCTGCAGCATCAGAACATTATGCTACATGTTCATCAATTTTTGGGAACGTCAGTGCATTAGCTGTCTGCTGACGACTCTAGATCAATCAATAGCGTTTTTTTAATTTTTGACTGTCGGGCAAGTGGTCACTGATCGACGTCGCGCCACGTGCAGTACAAAGTTTTGCGCCTGTATTATATAATATCAATAGATAGCGTTTTTTTACGTGTATTCCTCGACTGTCAAGCAAATAATATGCAACGCATTCTACGCCTGCATGGCATTCCTTCAACGAAAACGGGTGTATAAAGACGCGAAATCTCAACTGCGAGTTTCGTTATGTTGACCGGTGACCTCTTGCCCGTACGCGTATTTTTCGTATGAAATCCTGCACTTCACAGAGGGCACTCTATGTTCTTGAGTACTCAAGACAAATTTGAGTGCCAGTTGAAAGAGCCGCAGGGTGGAATAGGCTTGACTGTGTTATCTACAACCCTATGGACTAGATAAATGAACGGTGGCAAAAAATAGCATTTACTATAGCGCTACTCGTCGCCTGAAAATCATTTGGTTTCATTCTTGTTTCAAGACCTCGGCTACAGCTAGATACTTCAGCTGGATTAACGTTTCTGACACTTCAAGTCGGATTGTTCCGAATTATCGGATCTATGTCTTTCAGAGGTGCGGGAATAAGCGAACATTCTCGAGGCGAGAATTTTCCATTACTTAGCACTAATTCCATCATCTTGGCCTATGTTGACCATCTTTTGCTACTTTTGTTGGGATTTAATTTTTGAAATTAGTAAGAAACTACATGTTAATTCTGTACAAATTAAACATTGCAGTGCCAGAAAAGTCTTGTGGTACCTAAGCTTTTTGAAAGTGAATTTTCTAATGAAGGCCTTTTAAGATGCCCAAAGGTCAGTTGGCACAAAACCGCACGGGCGTTGGATATGGGCAGTGGGTAGCTCCGGGTGCGCGACCTATGGGTGTCGAAGGAAAAAGCTTCCCGAAAAAAGGCTGGGCCCAGCCACCGGTATATATTCTAATTTTTGATATTTTTTGGATATGATTTTAATTTGTTTTTCCTTTCAATTATGTTCAAGGTGCTCATAGTTACTCTAATAAATATTTATTTGGCAAGTCACTTCTATTAAGTTCGCTCAAAACTTTGCAAAGAAACCAAAAAAGGAGACGGATCCCACCGGTAAAACACCTGCTATGCTTCTGCACGAGTTGTACAAAGACATAGTGGAAGCGTGAGTTTTTTCTAGGTCTTTTTTTTTCGACCCAACTTATAAGTTACTCTGCATGGGATCCTTTCACTCATGGCAAAGGAGATGACCAGTCAGCTAAAAAATTTCAGATACGAGGAGGTTGCCGCTCATCCAAAGGCTTATCGCTGTCTTCTCACCGTTGCCGGACAACAGTTCTCAATGGTAGCTCCAGCTAAGAAAACTGCGAAGCAGGTACTGTAATTCCTGCTTTACCGCTACAGGCATCGTCATAGGTGCATGAGATTCTCCCCAAAAAGACACGGAAAGGATTATTGTTCCAATACGAAGTAATCTTGATGTCTGTTTCTACAATTCGCCATGTGTTGATTTGGCTCCACGCAAGTCTAGTTATCTTATGAACATAAATCTATGTAGATTTATGGGTAGTTGTAAGCAAAGGTAACTCACTATGTACCGTGTCGCACCTGAAAATGGAGCAGTGTCTCAAGAGCAGCAGTCATAACACGGCTCAGCCAGTCGCTCAAAGCAAATGGATTATCCTGTGTAGAGCTTACTATTGTCACCTTTGAGATCAGCTGCTTTCTATCAAAGCATGTGGTGGAAGGCGCTGAAACTAATGCGAATATGAATTTGCGTGGTCAGTGCCTAGACTAGAGAGGATTCTCCTCCATGAGTGTTGATGTTCAGCTTTGATAGTAATGGTTTAAAATTGATAGGAGTAATCGAGTCTAAGAGTACGATAAGGAGTTGTGGTGTACGTGTGTATCAAGCGCAATGTTTGTATTGATTTCATGCAGTCTGAACGAGAGAAATGAGCACAATGTTTTGTCTATTAGCAGCCCGGATAAGCTTGTGCAGCCGTTAAAACCGATTCCAGGGGACTAATCCACTTGTCCTGTGCAATTTTTGCGTTCTTGCGATGAAGCAGTATCAGTAAAGGTTTTTGTACTGCGTTTCTTTCAGTTCAAAGGGTAATTTATGGATGAGAAGGGAGAAGGTAAAATCTATTTAGGAAACATAGAGGAAATATTATTATGTTTGTAGAATCGGATGCGGAAAATAGACTTCTCTAGGCGAGACTTTTATCGAATAATTTGTCTGAAATCATACGCCATTTTTTGCAGAAAACCGCTGAAATGGCTTTGCGAGCCCTTCGACCAGATTTGAACATTGCTCCATTTGAAGACGGAGTTGTTACTTTACCCGTCAAAGAAGGAGCAGTTATTGCCGCGGCACCGATTCAACGCCCAGCCAAGATGGAAACCGAAGATGCACCTCCAGCCAAGAAGATCAAGGTTTGTAGCTATTCATTTTACAGACCATAGGCGAATCCCCTAAATTTCCATTTTTAGTTGAATGCGTTAGAATCAGCGCTGTCTCTGCTTGACTGCATGCGGAAACTGTGCGCCGAGCGTGTTTCCGAAGGTCCCTTCAATCCCGTTTTTGATATCACCGACATCACAGAGAGTAATGCTGCTCTTGGAGAGAAGCGGAAGTTCAGGTAGGTAGCGGTAGCCTTGCTTCTCCTTATTGCTTCGGTGTCTGACTATTTATCTTGTTTCTCTAGGGCTACGCTGACGTTTGCGGAACAGGGCAAGATCTACACCCATGAGGGTTTCGGAAAAATGTCCACTAGAGATGTGGCAGTGCGAGAGGTATGAAGCAAATAGGTCATCTGAGAAGGATATTAATTCGTCCGGGCTTTAGGCGTTGCTGGATCTCTTCCAAGTTCCACAGGCTGATATTCGCAGAATTGTTCGCCGTCATCTTATGGGAAAACTCACCGATATGCCTATAATTCAGGTTTTCCTTTGAAATAACGGAGAGGAATAGTTCAATCGCAAGTGAAATTCTAATGAAGTTTGCTTTACAGACGCTCTATCAAGTCGCCCATCTATGTGGATGTGAGGTGCAATTCAAGGTAGACATCAGTACCGACAAGGCGATTGGCCATCTACCGCCATCTTTTGTCGCCGTCTGCACACTCATCGATCATTCCAGTATTTTGCTTTTGCCCTACGTTCTTTTCTCTCTCTCATAACTCAGAACTCTGATCAAATTGCCATTCCCCATTTTCCACGGTCCATCGGAGTTCTGAGCGTTGCCATCATCAGAGATGATGGTCTGACCCTATGGATGAGCATTCTTCTGTCACAAGTTTGTTTTTTGGAATTTTATTTTC